CTAGAAATGATGCTAAAACGTACAACTTTTCTGAGTATGAAGCAATTTATATTTTCTCTGGTTATCCATAAGATATAATTTCATCTTTGTTGTTTTTAACTACCTTTCTGTCAGGAGCAGGAACAAAAGTCATGAATTGATCGATGTGGCTGATGACGAGCCAATCAGCATACAAGGCCACAGGTTCCTGAACCTTCTGAGCCCACAAGAAGTCTTGAACGACTTGGGTCATGTTTCGTCCATTTGTGGTCCTTAGAGAAAGGAAAGAACAACAGAATATTGACACATAGGCTGTGTCCGAACATACACCCTAAATCGCTCAATCCCTATATAGAGCGGGGACTTTATAATGGACTTTAATTTGAACTCAGTTATATTAGCCAGTATAATAATAATTATAATAATTTGCCTGTTGATCACGTGTAAACTTAGTCCCAAAGATCTCCTTGTATTCCAGCCAGATGAACCATTTGTTTACAAATCCATTTTTTCCACGATGCACGGCCACAGTGTTAACAATGACTCCGCCACAGCAGTCAAAAACTTGTATGCCCTTCTGGATTCAACACCTATCAACTACCTGTCACCTCTTGGTTTATATACTGGAAGCAAGAGCCCCATCTATTGACCAAAAAAACTAAAATAGACATATTTGACTCTAATATCAGTTAACTGACTCATCTGAGATGATCACTACTTTTTGTTTCCCATTGTCACTGGACCTCAGCTCCCAGCAGGTGCCTGCCTCTTTGTTCTCTCTCCCCCAAACCAGATCCCATGATGCTTTGCGAGGAGAGTTCTTTAAAGCGTTCTGAGACATATCTCCTCATCTAGTGACCTTGGTTGTAAACTTTCAGGTACATTGTGGGAAATTTTGAGTCCACTATTTTTTCCTCTACTAGACATCCGGACATTCATATAAAAAAGTGGATGTTCAGACACAGCCATACACTTTGATTTTTATTTTTTTTTTTACAGTTTATGTGGATGCAGAAGATGTTACTGATAATTCTGTACTCTAACATTTATGTTAAAAAAAATACTGTTTAAGCTGGAGATCTTAGTATACATGCTACATTATCAGATGCATAGAAAAGCAATTTAAAACACAAGGACGATAATGAACAGTTTAAAAAGGCAATAAAGATCAGCTTGAAATCATATGAAAAGAAGTCTGACCCCTGGAATCAAAATAAAATGAGAAATAATCAAACCTTTGTTCTTTTTCATTTCTACTTAACGGGTATAAACTCTTCTGGGATCCTGCTACTTACTTTGGGAAGGCAACCCCAATGAGCATTCTGCCCAGAGGGTATTTTTTCCCATTCACCGTCACAGGAGGGCTGACCTTCAGGTTACAGAAGGAGTCCAGACTGCTAACAGCATCTCTGTCAGCATCTCTTTTCACATAACCAAAGTCAGGCCCCTGAAGATAGAAAAATACATATAATAATAAAGATCTGTTCTACAGTTGCAAGGGGTTATAAAGCACAAAATCTAAAAATAGAAATATAATTTACTGTCCTTCACAGGGGCATTTAGGACCAAAATACAGCCCAGTTATTAAAAATAGTATGATTGGGTTTTTAGACTTTTACAACAAAGTAGAATAATCGAACAGCTGAACAAGCTGTGCTAGTATTTATTTGTAGAGAGACACCAATCAATTTCTTTCCCCATGTGAGTGAAGGCTTTAGCCTTGACATAAAAAGTAACAAATGAACATAGATATAAATGTACTTTACATTATTAATTAACAAATACTGTCACCACCTGGCTCGACTGGTCGCAACAAAAACTGGGGGACACGGAAACAGGCAGTGCGTTAGGCCTGTAAAAGGCATTTATTTAGCAGAATCAAAGAATGAACTATGTGTCGGCATCATGTCTCGGATGGGGCGATCACACCTGGTCCCTCCACACCAGGAAGTCTGTACCCCA